GCTGGTCCTCGCAAAGCTCTGAAAAGTGCCTCTTTGTGCGCCTTGCGCGTCTGTCTTTGAAGAGACTGTGGACACCATCCACCATGAGGATGCCAGGTCTTGCGCGTGCGCTTTTAAGCCATCAAACTCTCCTCGGAGTTGGGCAAGTGTATCGGTTGCGTTACCAAGCATTGCTGTCGCCTGTAAGAGGTCCACGTCTTTGCGCTGGAGAGCTTGGGACACAATGTTGACTGTTTCAAGGACCTTGCCCTGTATTACAGTCATTACAACAAACTCAAAGCTCTCCATGGCCTTTTTTCAAGCCAGTCGCCTCGGCACGTTCCTCGCTTTTTTTGGAGAGCAAGTCTATCTTAGTTAGCGCTTGCATAATGTCAGCATAACGGAACCGCAATGATTGGACGGCGTCTTGTCTTGATGCCCATCGTGTCGGGCATAGTCTCTTCAGTGTAGGCTGGCCAGCCTTGGGCACTGAGAGGTGTGTTTCCAAAAGCTCCCATCGTTTGATGCTTCCACTAAAGAATACATATAGCCTTTCAACAGTGTCGTAGAAGTCTTTTATCTCAGGTATATTTTGGCATGCGTCATTGAGTAAAAGGTTTAAATTGTGCGCAGCACAATGAATGTACACTGCGTTGGGCTCTTTATCCCTTATGCGTTTTTGTACACCGGAGTAGACGCCACTCATATTGCTAGCCCCGTCATATCCTTGTCCGCGGCACTTCCCAAGTAGTATCCCCTTTCTCTCCATCGATTCGAGAATTTCTCTCTCTAGACCTGCAGCAGTTTGGTCTGTGACTGCATGGAAGCCCAAAAACTTTCGTTTATTTTCACCTCTGTAGGGTTTCCATTTTCATCATTTGCTATAGTAACATATCTGAACACTTGACTCAGTTGGTCTACTTTTGAAATGTCCTGGGTAGTATCCATTATAATCGAATATAATTCTGCATTCTGTATGTCTGTAATGATTGTGTCCTGCACTTTTTTCGATAGCAATGAAATTATTTCGTTTTGAGTTTGAGGACTTAGGTAGTGCACCTTCTTTTTGCTTTCAATAAGCCTTTGCAGAACTGGATCATAACGCGCCATAAGTTATATGGTAGATAAGAAATTACCATTATCTATATCACCTATTTTCTCTCTGTGACCCCGGAAAGCAGAGTTGCGAGAGGCCAGTGTTAGTGTAACATCAGTTATTCTGGTTAGGACCTCGGTCCAAAACCCCACCTCTCTCTTAAACTCAGATGATATTTGCGCGTCAATGGTCAGATTATTTTTCCACGTATTATACACGACACATGCTGCCAAATGAGAGCGAGAGAATTCGTGTTCCTTAATCTTTTTAGAGAGACCCTGCCAATCATTTATTCCTATTCTCCACGCTTGGTGGAGGGTGATGGGCAGACGGTCTGTCACCGAACAGCCAGCACTGCTCACAGTACACCCGGTCCATAGATGGCGAGTAACATAGCCACTTTCGTGGAATTCTACATCCAATTTTGGATGTTTTGTTATAGAACTCTTTTGAAAAGCACCTTCCCTTCCCATCCCTTTTGAATGGCCCTTCAGGCTTGCATGGCCCGTTATTCAGAATGTACCGTTTAACATCATCGTCTTCTAAATCTACAGGGAATTTCCCCCTATCAGTAGGGTATTCAGTCACAGAGTTGTCGCTGGCCAACGTGTCCCTGGGGTGGGTGGGAGCTGCTGTCACTGTCGGGGCACGGCTAGCTGGCTGGGCAACCTTGGCTATGTCTGAACTGGCCTCGGAGGGGGCACAGCTGACTTCTTGCTGACCTGCAAAAAGGAACGGATTATATTGCAATTCCAATGTAACCTGTAGCATACTGACTCGTACTGTTTATGGCGATTGGCGAATAAAACTTTCTATTATTCTAACCTGTCTCGAAGCGTGAGGCACGACTAGCTGGCTCGGCTGTAACGGGGCTGCTGGGGTCTGTGGGGGCACGGCTAGCTGGCTGGGCAGCCTTGTCTATGCCTATGTCTGAACTGGCCTCGGAGGGGGCACAGCTGACTTCTTGCTGACCTGCAAAAATGAACGGATTAGATTCCAATTCCAATGTAACCTGTAGCATACTGGTTATGGCGAATAAAACTTTATATTATTCTAATGTCTAACCTGTCTCGAAGCGCGAGGCACGACTAGCTGGCTCGGCTGTAACGGGGCTGCTGGGCTGTCTGCCTGGACTCGGAGCTGACGGCCGGGGGCCGGGGGGGGTTGCTAGCGGTCTATCTGCAGTAACGTTAGAGTCTACGTCTACCTTTGCTGCCTGCCGGAACAATGACGTTATTTTAGGTAGTTTTGCCCTCTCCTGTTCGGCTTTTGCTCTCATTTTGCTTTTCTGAGCACCGCTTGGGTAGTGGCGCTTCATTTTTCATGTTTACCGGCAACGCAACTAATGAACGTTATTTATATGAGCAATGCTTCCCGCTTTGTTTTGAACGCTGCCCAGCCTGCCAATGAACATTAGTTATCAGCCGGCTAGCCCTATCGCAGATGAGCAAATAATTATAATGATACACTGTTGTACTACTACAGGCAGCGTACACATGACGTAGCAACATAGCAGGGAGGGGGGGGCCCCGCCCTCTGCACCCTGTTCCCGCGTTACGAAATCTAAGAGGATAGCCTACAGTGGGGGCGGGGCCCCCTAAGCTCCGGGGCTCCCCCGCACCGTGGGGGGTGCGGGGGCCTCCGCTACGCCACTGGTTTTCACAAACATTTCCACGCTAGGAGTATGGGAGTACTTCCATTCGCTTCGCCTTGATCTGTAGATGTGATTTGATGTGTCGTGTGTCTCCCAACTCCTCTCCAAAGTTCAGATACTATATAAAAATACTAAAAGGTAAATAAAACATTAAACATAATGACAAAATAACAACCTGAAATATATGTATTCTATCTACACATTTCGTAATTATCTAATCTAGTGGCCTGATAAAAGTGTTGGCTAAAGTAACGCAGAATATATATTTTTTTTAATTGTAAATAATTAGAAACATTATTTATGTGCACAAGTACATGGGACTCCACCATAGCACCCCACACATAACAAGCTGTCCCGAGTTCCTCCGGCTGCAGTTCCGCAGACGGCCGGTGTGTGGCAGCAGAGCGCTGGGAGCAGAGGGAGGTGAGTATATGACGGATATGACGGAAGACGGATGCGACGGAAATACACCCGAACATATCTGGTAGCCCGAACATATCTGGTACTGACACCGGAACCGGTGCACCCTCCCTCGATCCCACGCTCACTCGCACTTTGGCTGTGAGCTGTGGGTGCCAGATAAGCCAACACCCCCCATTTTCATCACTTACAGCGCCCATCATACAGGGCAAATGAAACGTGTAACCGGGGTGAAAAGGGTGTTACATTTACTTAATTATGAATGTTGTTACATCAAGGCCGAAAATTAGGATGAGCCCCAACGGTCAAAAAATTGTTTTTCCCTCCCAGAGCTGCCAGCGCAGCGCCTCCCCGGATCTGGCGCCCTAGGCGAACATCTATTACGCCAGTGCTTCGGAGCCGACCCTGAGTTCATATGCAACTCGCAAATATCTTTCTCTCACTCCTCTCTTCTCTCTCCTCTCTTCTCTCTTCTCTCTTTTCTCTTCTCCCTTCTCTCTCTCCTCTCTCTCTCTCAATGTTGGTACGCAAATGCGCCTTTTTTCAAATGACCCGGTGCTCATTTTTTGGTGGAGGTGCGCATGCGCACCTGCGCACCAGTTATGTGCAGCCCTGTTTATATAGCACTTTTCAACACAAGGCAATTCAAAGTGCTTTACAAAAAATGAAAGACATTAAGAAAAGGGCATTTAAAATCAGTCATTAAAAAGAAAAGCTAATAAAATAAACATTAAAAGAAAAAAATACATGGATAAAAGTTACAGTGCAGTTTAAGATATGAATAGTTCAATTAAAAGGGTATAATAACTTCCTGTTGGAGGGTTTAATAACTTCCTGTTGGAGGGTTTAATAACTTCCTGTTGAAGGGTTTAATAACTTCCTGTTGAAGGGTTTAATAACTTCCTGTTGAAGGGTTTAATAACTTTCTGTTGAAGGGTTTAATAACTTCCTGTTGAAGGGTTTAATAACTTCCTGTTGAAGGGTTTAATAACTTTCTGTTGAAGGGTTTAATAACTTCCTGTTGGAGGGTTTAATAACTTCCTGTTGAAGGGTTTAATAACTTCCTGTTGAAGGGTTTAATAACTTCCTGTTGGAGGGTTTAATAACTTCCTGTTGAAGGGTATAATAACTTCCTTTAAGATTAGTTTAATAACTTCCTGTTGAAGGGTTTACCCCATAGGTTTACCCACTACTCTACTGGGATAGGCGTGTGGCGCAGTGGATAGAGCCCATGTGCAAACCCCACTGCAGTCAGCATGTCGTTGTGTCCCTGAGACACTTCACCCCAAATTGCTCCTGTGGGGATTGTCCACAGTATTGAGTAAGAAAGTTGCTTTGGATAAAAGCATCTAACAAGTAACATGTAAATCTACAGACCACCCAAATCTACTCACACAAACATGCACATGAGCAATAAGTGGGTAGGGTGGGGGTGAGTTTGGAATTGGTTCTTTTAAATTATCAGTATGTTTACATACTGTTAATAGGATTTCAATGCAGGACTTGTAATAGAGCATTTTATTGTGTTGGCACTTTTACTCAAAATATATACACTAAGTGTTCCTTACTGGTCTGTGGGGCTTAATATGGGCTCAGTGCAGATGTGACCTGTGAGGTCAGCAACAGTCTGTCTCAGCGTGGCCTCATGCCTTTTACTTCAGATTTTTCTTGGAATCCCAATGGGGGCTCTGCGTTCTTTTTTTGTCATATCCTGTCACTGTGTATGTTTGCATATATGTGTGTGTGAGAGAAAGAGAGAGCCTACCTTTACATTACTGATCTGGTTTCAATGTCCTCCCTTCCCCATGTTGCACATCTGTATGTGTGTAGACCAAAGGCAGAAGACCCCACTCTTTGACAAATAATCTCTTCTTTTATTTTGAGAGGAAAAACAACAAAAACATTCCTCACAACATTGACCTGTATAAAAAATATAAAAAATACACCAGTCAGCTGTTTGGTGGTCCCAGCCCTGAGTCGCATCAGAGCGGGCAGTGACCCCGACTGGATGCTTATATTATTCAGTTTACACGCTTTACACACGGCTGGCTCTACAGTGCCACTTTACTATGTTTACATCACAGTATAATTAGGAAACGCAGATAGATAAAGCATTGTGTCTCTCTGAATGTAATAGGCAAACATTTGACCCCATGTTTAAAAGTGTTTGATTACAAGGTAAGTGCAACATTACAAAAAAATTAACACATAGCCTATTTGCTTGCTCACATTAAGGATGTCATTTAAAAAATAATAGGCTTGTTAGTAAGTAAGGAAATCTCCCACACATAACATTTGACTGGTGATATGCTCCTTACTATTTGTGTGGCAGATATAATTATTAAAGGGAAAAAAGGAAAACAGAACAAATAAACAAAACCTGTTGCTAAATTAGGTAATTCCACTAATAAAATGAAGCTTTGTTAGTGACTCTGAGGCTGTACTGTGTTTCTTTTAGCTAAATGCTAACATCAGCAAGCTATATTGCTCGCAATTACATTGCTAACATGATAAGAACCAAGCAGTCTAAGGTCTAATGTTTACTATGTTATCCGCCGCATTTAAGCCAATTCATATTCTAACATTTGCCAACTTGAAGCAAACACAATATGCAGCTGATGCGAATGTTAGAAACGCAAGACAAAAAGTCAGATAATCAACAAGTTTAAAATGTCATTATCTGCGGACATGGACATCTACAGACAAGGATTAGGGTCACATGAGAAAGAAAATGAGGGTGTGACCAAAAGTTAAATAAAATGTTACGTTTTGATTTGATCTCTGACTTTGTTCTTGATATTCAACATTTTGGGGAATACCCTCATTCTCATTTTTACCAAAAGGGAAGGGAGAAGATTGAGTTTATTCATCTCTGTGTGTTCATAGCTGGAATCAGTAGGTTAGCGTAGTTTAGCATAAAGGCTAGAAGTAAGGAGAAACAGCTAGCCTGTCTGGTTCTTTCTGAAATCAAAAAGCACTTATAAAGCTCACTGACATGATGTTGTTTGTTAGATACACAAACAGAAATTGCATTATTTAAATAATGGTTTTATGGGTTACACAGTTTTTACCTCGTTACATATTTAAATGTAGTTTATATGTCAGCAAAGCTATGTTTTTAGTCATTACAGACAAACTGATGCCAAACTTGGCAACCTTAGTGTGAAAACAAACTGTGAAGCTGCAGCTACTGAGTCTGGATGTTGTCCAAAAAGAAATAGTTCCAGCATGAAACTTCACCTGAAATCATGAGTTGGCGTTTATTTACAGCCAAGATGGTATTGTTTGTTATTGAGTCAGTGTTTCAAGATTTCATCACCACGATAGCCCTGCTACTGTGTAAGGTGTAGATGAGAAATATAACAGATTTAAAGTTGAATTAAAAACAAAGTTTGAGTTAAAAGTTAGGCATTATCCGAGCATGAAGGACGATGGGGTCATTGGCCTCCTACATTTTGTCCCTGGCAAAGATGGTCTATTCTGTTCGTAAACCAAAATAGGTGTTTTTATTTTACTTAGGACAGAGCTAGCTGTTTCCCCCTAAATGTTCCACAACTTACCATGTCCTGAGAGTGGTATGGATCTACTCATCATACTCTCCACAACAAAGGAAGTTTGCATATTTTGCTAATGTTAAAATATTTCTTTCATCTTGCCTGGTGAGCTCCTTGCTAGCCTTAACCCTGACCCATATGTAGCACACATAATGTGACGTCCCATACTGCCTCTATAAACATGGTAACATGGACAAAAGCTTCCTGATAGGTCAACAAATAGAGTTCATCAGGGCTAAGAACACATTAGACCCAATCCTCAAACTTCATGACTCCATCGAAGCCTTCATAGGTGAAGGGTTCCAGGACGGGGCTGCAGGTCTCTTGAGCAAGGCAGGCCATCCTGTTGCTGTCACAGCTGTCCTCGCTGCCCGGGGAGAGGTACACCGAATCAGCAGAGTGGATGGACGGGTCCATGTCAAAATAGTTGTGTGGCCGCAGCAGGACCCCGCCCCCGTTGCCTACGGTTACCGTGTTGGGGATGTCCTCGGAGTGGGGGATGTGAAGGAAGCCGGTGGTCACCCAGGCAACCAGGTCCTGCAGGACAGTTTCGAACACATTATATTAGTTTCAGTAAACATGTAATACGTGATTGTTTCATCACGCTTCTTAAAGTGCGTTCACACCGGACACAAAGTGAAGATTCGCAACTTGAGTGAGTTGGACCGCGGCATCATTTGTGTTTACTAGCGTCACTCAAACTAGACGCGCTAGCACAGAGGCGGGACTTATCTCCATGTAGATACCAACAACAACAAACTAACATAATATGCCGTGATTCAATTGTTACACACGTATTCAAAAGATGCCGTTATAACTACATACTGATACTCGTTAGTAAAAACCATGAATTAATGCTTTGACAAGTGTGTTTACAACAAGGCAGACAAAACACTTTTCAAATGCATGTTTTCTGAATGGAGATCTAATCAATCGGGCTCGGCTAAGCTACCGTTGTAGCTGCTCCGTCCAAACTCAAAATAACGTCATGCTGACATAAATAAAGTAGCGACTGTATTCTCCATGCCGTAGACAGTGTGTGGGTTTCACATGTATAGTCTGATGTTCAGGGATACTCAGTTTCTACACGGACCACTATTGCGGTAAGCATGTTGTAACTTCCGGTTGTTGTCATCTCCGGGTATCCCGTGTGCCTGTTCTGTTGCTGATCGCTTATTATCTTAACTTAATCGATCGTTTTAAAACTCTTGATCACAGCAACTGCCTGACGTTGTAATCACACGCTACTACAGCTTAAGCACTCACAACTCTCCTTCTCTTAGCGACTGTAACTCCACAGTTGCCTACACTCTTTTCGGGTTTGCTAACGGTAGCTACTTTAGCTTGATAGCTAGCCATGGCTCTTTCCCCACCCTCGGGTGCTATTTCCTGCTCTAACTGTCTCATGTTTGGTTACTTCCCTACCTCCTTTACTGGTACCGATACATGTGTTAAATGTAGTATAGTTGTTAGGTTGGAGGTGGGAATCATAGCCATAGAAGCCCGGCTCTGCATCTTAGAAAGTAACTCAGCTACAGTAAAGCCCATGTTAGCCGGTGCGGGCCGGCAAAAGGTAGCTCCTCTTAGCCATCCCCCGGCAACTCCCGAGCAGCAGGGAGACTGGGTGACTGTTCAGAAGAGGCATAACGCGAAACCCGCAGGTCCCCACCAACCCGTTCACGTATCTAACAGATATTCCCCACTCAGCGAGACACCCGCTGAGAAGCCAACTCTGGTTATTGGTAGCTCTATTATGAGACACGTGACTTTAGAGACCGAAGCCTCCACAGTCACATGCATTCCGGGGGCCAGAGCGGGCGACGTTGAGGCGCATCTTAAACTGCTGGCTAAAAATAAACGTAAATACAGTAGGATTGTTATTCACGTCGGTGGTAATGATGTTCGTATACGCCGATCAGAATGCACCAAACTTAATGTGGAGTCGGTGTGTAGTTATGCTAAAACGATGTCGGACACCGTAATCTTCTCTGGTCCCCTCCCCAATCTCATCAATGATGACATGTATAGCCGCATGTCATAATTTCAGCGCTGGTTGTCTTGGTGGTGCCCAGCAAACAATGTGGGCTTCGTAAATAATTGGACAGCCTTCTGGGGAAAACCTGGTCTGATTAAGAGATACGGCATTCATCCTACTTTGGAAGGTGCAAATCTCATTTCGGCAAACATTTCAGGGCTTTGTGGACTTAATCCATGACAAACTGGAGTTGAGACCAGGAGGCGGAGTCGCAGTCTTACACACTTCTCTGCGCTCTCTCCTAGGCAGTCATCCATAGGAATCCCGAACCCAATAAAATACCCAATATTAACGGTGTGTGTCTGCCCAAGGACAATTTAAAGTAAAACCTAATAGAGGTGTCATACATAATAACCTAATAAAAGTCAATGTAACAACTACTACAGTGCAACAAAACAGGAAGATTACATGTGGACTCTTAAACATAAGATCTTTAGCATCTAAAGCAATATTGGTAAATGATTTAATATCAGATTATAATATTGATATATGCTGTCTCACTGAAACTTGGTTGAGACATGAAGAATATGTCAGCATAAATGAGGCCACTCCACCCAGCCATATCAATACTCATATCGCCCGAGGCACGGGCCGAGGAGGTGGAGTTGCAGCAATCTTTGACTCAAGTTTACTTATCAATACTAAACCAAAATTAAATTATACCTCCTTTGAAAGTCTCGTTTTTAGTCTTAGGCATCCGACCTGGAAAACTTTGCAGCCAATCTTATTTGTTACAGTGTACCGTGCACCAGGTCCTTATTCAGAATTATTATCAGAATTCTCTGAGTTTTTATCAACTTTAATACTTAAAACAGATAAAGTAATTATCGTAGGTGACTTTAATATTCATGTTGACGATGATAAAAATAGCCTTACTGTTGCATTTAACTCTATATTAGATTCTGTTGGTTTCTATCAGAGTGTAAATAAACCAACCCACTGCTATAATCACACTCTCGACCTTGTTCTGACTTATGGTATTGAAATTGAATAACTATTAGTCGAACCGCATAATCCTGCTTTATCCGACCATTTCTTAGTAACTTTTGAAGTACTGTTACTAGACTACAAAGCATTAGTCAAAAGCTCCTGCAGCAGAAACCTATCTGTTAGTGCTATAGCCAAATTTAAGGAAGAGATTCCACCAATACTTAACTCGATAGCATGTCTGCATGTAAGGGAGCAAACTTATACAAAATGTACACCACCCCAAATTGATCATGTTGTTGATAGTGCTACAGATGCGCTGCGAATAAAATTAGACTCTGTTGCTCCTTTGAAAAAGAAGAAAATAAAACAACATAGATTAGCTCCATGGCATAATGCCGAAACCCACAAAATAAAGCAAAAGTCGAGACAACTTGAAAGGATATGGCGTTCCACTAAACTTGAAGAATCTCGTTTAATTTGGCATATTACTCTCAATGAATATAAGAAAGCACTGCGTAAAGCGAGAGCAGCCTACTCTTCATTAATAGATGAGAATAAGAATAATGCAAGATTTCTTTTCAGCACTGTAGCCAGGCTGACAGAAAGCCATAGCTCGATTGAGCTTTCTATTCCCATAGCACTCAGTAGTAATGATTTTATGTGCTTTTTTAACGATAAAATGGTTACTCTTAGAAACAAAATTAATGACCTCTTGCCTTTGACCAGTATAGTGTTATCAACAGCTCCCGGAAACGTAAGTTCTAATATTACACTAGATCAGGGGTGGCCAACCCGTGGCTCTCGAGCCGCATGCGGCTCTTTGCCTAGTTTCATGCGGCTCTTCAGTTCATATCGAATTTTATATGTGTGAGTTTGGGGGAGAGACACTGACTCCTGACTAGTGTTGCACGGTGTACCGATACTTGAAAGGTATACCGCGATACCCTGCCGTTAAAAACGTTACGATTCCTCCGTTTCATTAGTATCGGTACTTTAAGAATGACGGGGGAAAGTACTCCGGTGAGAAAGCGCCGTTTTAATAAGAGCCGTGTGTGTTCAGCGCTCTGCTTCCACTCCCTGCTCTGCAGCCGTGCCTGCACCCTCCCCTCTCAAGCACGCTCTAAATCCCTCCCCTCTCTCGTGCACGCGCTAGCTGCCAGAGCATGTGAGAAAACGAGAAGCATGGCTGCAAGTGGGAGTGCAGCTGCCGCTGCGCCTCGGCTTGTTGACAACAAAGACGCCAGAAGCGACATTTTGATGTATTTGAGCGATATCTCTGACAGTGAGGGCAAGCCTACGGACACCACGAGGCCTGTCTGTAAGAAATGTATTAATTTTATTTAATACGAATTCTTCATTTATTTTATTTATTGTTCTCATTGTTTAAAAGTTTGTGTTATGGTTCTGGTGTGAAATAAAGCACAATAATTACATTTAAGACTGTTTCCCTTTTTTTAAGAAAAATAATCGGAATCGCAATTCTTGACTTGGTATCGAAACCAAAATGTTGGCATCGTGCCAACACTACTCCTGACAGTTAAACCTGATATTTAGTAGGTCTGTTAAGTATTGAATGCTGATAATTCTGACGTAATTTGGCCGGTCAAAGTTGTTTGGGCTCGGATAAAATCGCTCCGTTACTTTGGTCCCGTGTTACTTTCGTCCCGGCTCTCCCTACGTGTGTATGTGTGGTGTCAGGTGTCAGTATGAGAGGATGACAGCGCGTCTACTTTTGATGTGGCCCAAGAGCCAATCACAATAATACCTGCAATGCAGGTGGGAGAAAACCTATCGTTGATTAAACCCTATCCAGTGTTTCCCCTACCATTGTCTTGGAGGGGCGCTGCGGAGCCCCGCGCCCCCCCCCCCCTGAAATTCAAGGTGTTATATATATATATCATTTAAAAAAAAAATATATATATAGCACCAAATTGCAAATAATCTATAACTACTGTCACTTTTCACATTGAACATGTGCTCTTTTATTAAATAAACTAAACGCTTTCATCCTAAGTTGTGGGTTTAGTGTTTTTGACCCTAAGAAACACCGATGCATTAATCAATAACAATAATACACAGCTCCTCTCTCTGCTCCAGAGGATTTAAAAAATATATCCCAATGCCACAAAATGCATCAGTGACGTGGTTGAAATCTTGTCTCCAGAAAACAAAAAACTGAAACAAGCGGTATCAGTGACTGTGTGTTTGATGTGGCTCTTTGCAGTAACATAGAAAAAATGTGGCTCTTAACCTCTGACTGGTTGGCCACCCCTGCACTAGATAGTAAACTAGAATGCTTTTCAGCCATAAACCTTGAACAATTAAATTCAATGATTCTCTCTTCTAAACCATCAACGTGTATCTTAGACCCAATTCCAACTAAGCTGTTGAAGGAAGTTTTTCCATGAATTAGCACTTCTTTATTAAATATTATGAATATGTCTTTATTATCAGGCTATGTTCCACAATCATTCAAAGTAGCAGTGATAAAACCGCTTCTTAAAAAGCACAACCTCGATCCAGAGGTTTTAGCAAATTATAGACCTATTTCTAATCTTCCGTTCCTCTCAAA